ATTCCTGCAGAATGCGGCGGGAAAAGTGCTTCTTTTCCTGCAGAAGACTTTCACTTCCCGCGTGAAAATGTTTCATTTTTCCCCCAGGAACTTGCGGAATCACGCTCGTTTTTTTTCACTGGGTAGTGAAAAGTATAATTCACCGAGAAAGGCCGATTTTTGTGGAAATCAACTAGAAACAACGTCTGCGGGATACTACTGCTCTTACTAGCATGGACTGCTAGCTCGAGAGTCTTACTTTTTTGTGTCCCTCCTAACGAAAGACAGACGTTCTTTGCGTTAAGCATCAAAGACGAATTGATAAGATGAATGCTTCAACAGAAAAAGCTATTATTGATGCAATAATATTTCCTGCCATAAACGATAAAAAAGAAAACAGTTCAGGATAATCTTTGGCTCATTTCTAAATTGCAATATACCTTTAACACATGATTTAATAAGATCATCAACTGATGTTATTGTCACATTGACGATCGTGGATGGTTTTAAACGTTCACCAACACGTACAACATTTCGAGCGAGCACTGAAGATAAAAGCGACATGTGCCAATCTGCTAACTACGCAACAAAGTTTATTGTAAGTTTTGCTTCTTATTCGAAGAAATCAAATAGGCATGTGTGAAGACTTCGAGAAACTTTTTTCCAACAAAAGCACAACTTTTACACGTAAAGTTGGGGTGTAGTAGTATATATATTTGCTTTAAAAAGTAAATTAAGGCTAACAGTATTCGTCAGAATGTTTTTTGACAGATGATGGGCTGGAAGTCAAAATTAATTGAATTAGGGAAGCCATCAAAATTCGCATCGATGAATTTATTCACCGCTAAATAAATTCAGCGGTACGGTGAAGTCCGCATAAGAACGGTAATCGGCCCACTAACAATAACTCCTCTACTCGGTCCCAACCTCATCACAATCACATCCGATTATCATGTTCGATGATTTCGACCCTTCCGAACACTTTCAGTCGAATATACCCGACAAAATCTACTTGAAACCAAGCAACAGTTTAGCACCAATAGTATGACTGTAAAATCAACATTTCTCAGTAACCATACTATATTAAGCCTGGCGCAATGCATCATTCGATGTGCCATGAAAAGCTCTACAGCATGTTTTAATAAGAAACTTAACGAAGCCTGGCAGCAGGTTTTATGAATCAAATACTAGATTTTTTCATAGGTCGCCGCGATGCTACTCGAACTATCGGTCACTTTTCTCTATGAAACTAAAGAGGATCTCTAATCATTCATACACCATTCGATGCGGCTTGAAAAACTCTGCAAGATATGTTAATAGGAAACTTAACGAAGACTGGTAGCCGTGTTTGGGTATTATAGATACCATTCGAAAGAGGACTTCGAGATCTACCAACTCAGCGAGAAAAATAAAAAGATTTTTCACCCCAAAATAGGCTAATTTTATTTAATTAATTAGGGAAAATTTTTTCATCTGCACGATTTATTGAAATGGATAGTAGTTCTTAGAAGATCCAACTGACCCTTGTAAAGACTTTCTATTTTCTCTTGTCTTGTCTCATTTTATCCTGTCTCATATTTTCTTGATCCCAAGTAGTCGAGCATGTCATACTGGTGACTAGAGATACATGTAGTCATCTGCGGCCATGCTTTTTTTGAATTACCCACGCTCACCAATAAAAGCTTTTGCCCATGGCCATATGTATCCATAATGGGTACAACCCCAGATCTTTAGACATGTTTTATTCAAACCTCAGAATTCACGCTCCGCACTAATAGTATTCAGCAGACTTATTATTGCAGCTACATAAGGGAAGACGTCAAAATTCGCATCGGTAAATTTATTCACCGGTGAATAAATTTACCGGTAATTTGATTGGAAAGAAAATTGAAAACAATATTGTTCAATCTGGCTGAGAAGAAGAATATAGAACTATTGCATAACAGAATGAACATGTATGTACAGGGTGATCCAAAAAAACTTACCCCCTGTGTATTTATTGACTTTCTTGAGTACAAATATAATTGAACTTTTTACCATTAGTTTATTCGAATAGAGCAAAGATTTCTGGACGAAATGAGACGTCTCCGAGCTCTTGAAGTGCTTTTCTCATGAAACATCATGCAATTTACAGAAGGTCCCATATCACCAAAAGCGGAACAATTAATGGGCAAACAAGAAAAATATGCTCTTGGGACCTTCCGTAAATTCAATACTGTTTCATGAAAAACGTTCTTAGAGAGCTCGGAGACGTCTCATTTTGTCCAGAAATCTTTGCTCTATTTGAATAAACTATTGATAAAAAGTTCAATTATATTTGTACACAAGAAAGTCAATAAATACAGAAGGGAAGTTTTTTTTGGATCACCCTGTATATATTCGTTCAGATAGTTATGTTTGTCATTACAAATTCGTGCAATTTCTAAAATTAAAGTGAAATCCATACATTTTACTAACTTTAGTCTGTGATGTTGAGATCTCTATAACTTAAAACCTAAAAGAGACCTTTTCCACACAGTTGTTTGGCGTACAGTACAAGTTCTGTACTACAAACTGGCAGCAAAACTGGAGAAGGGTATCTTCAAATTTGTTAATTTTTTAATCTGGGAAGTTACCAGAATAAACACTAATTTCATAGTGAAGAGAATCTTTCTTTTGGATAAAACAATAAAATTTGTTCTTTTCTTCATTTCTTGCTTTATATCTGTCTCTATAGTATGCATAGAACGAAGAAAACATCAAAGTTTCATCTAGCTCAGCGTTTCCCAATTTATTTTAGCCATGGAACCCTTTCACAAAATTTAAAACTTTGCGAAACCCCGGTAGTATTTTGACATAATATTTGACAAAACTTATTTAAGACTACGTAATTTTTATCTTCTTATTTTTTTCTGGCGGAACCCTTGGTTTCACTTTACGGAATCTCAGGGTTCCACGGAATCTCATTTGGGAAACGCCGATCTAACTGAACTACTGCGTGGATTATATAGACATGAATGTTTCGTTATACAATGATGAATATAACGATAATGGATGAGTAGTTATTGTTCATCATTTGGCACTCTTATTCATTGATTATTAATAGCTCGGTTTGAAGAAGATACTGACTATGGATAATAGCAGCCTTTTAACCATTTTTATGTCTGTTTTACATACATTATTTCTGACTACCATGGCCCAAAGAGAGAGCCGGAAAGTCATGGTAGTTCAGAAAGTTCTTTGAAAATTCATTTAGCTTTTATATTGGAGTAGATAGCAGAGCTGCGTATGGACTGGACTGGACTCAGATTTTTTGGAGTTCATGGACTCGGACTGGACTGAACTAGACTTTTTTAGTCCATGGACTGGACTGGACTCAAAAATTTGAGTCCATACGGAGCTCTGGTAGATAGCTGCTTTTTCATACGTTCAGCTGTGCTTTGGGCAGCCTTATAACTCAACAACCAAATGGTACCTTTTTCTAAAAGATAGCATAGTATATAGTACAAATTGTGTACTACAAACTGGCAGAAAACTGGAGAAGTGTAGTTTCAAATTTGTTAACTTTTTAATCTGTGAAATTGCCAGGATAAACACTAATTTCATGGTGAAGGAAATCTTTCTTATCATATCATAAAACGATAAAATTTATTTCCTCCATTTCTTGCTTTATCTCTCTCTCTATACCCCCTGCAGGTGGTCGTCTGGCCATTTTATTGAACGACAGCCCCACATTTTTTCCTTCGAACGGCGGAAACCAAGCCGATCTCGTATTATACACACGGAAAAAATTGACAAGACTTGATGGATGTGAAATAGCTTCTTCTATATAGGAGATTCAGTAAGAATCTTACCATGAAACAATTTATAAATAACCTGCCAACCTCGTTCAGCTGTTGTAATAGCTGAACCTAAACCCCATTGTATTCGTTCCAATCCCGCTAAAACTTGTTGACTCATTCTTCGTTTGCCCGTACTACACATATAAGCAAAATGTTCACAGTTCCTAGCCACTAATGAATAAATTGACCACTTCTGTCGTTCTTTGATATCATTATAAATTTTAATAGCATTCTGGACAATTTTATCTTTGGACAAGCACGCTGATGCATATGAAACACCTGATACAAATTTTATTCGTTGTGCATGAATATTATCTGAATACTGAACACGACGGATAGCATTTTTCCAACCGAATGGATCAATACCAGCAAATTCCTCCAGTGTTACTAGACGAATATCATCAAGATTTTGTTCGATTACAATTATGGCGGGTAGTGCCGTTTTTGTTGTTATTAGTTCAACAATACGTTCAACACCCTCATCAAATCTCAAGTAATTTAAATCATCAATCGACAAAGCTATACCATGATGTTGATATGTACATAATTTACGATGAGAATACAGTTGATAACCGGGACGAATATCCTGCGCATCAATAATTTGAAAGAAAAAACCCATCCTACACGGCGTATGTGCTCTAAACTTACTATATGAAAACAGAATAAAAAAAGAAATAAAAATATATATTTTATTATAATAGATAATAACAGAACAATGAAAAGATGAAGAACAAGAAAGAAAACAAACGGGAATGTTTTCTTGCGATAAATGTGCTTGGTTTTGTCCCGGAGTTATACAAAAAAAAGAAGTAAGATGTGGAAGTTGTCTGATGGGAAAAAATGAAAATGATATGTGGAAAAAACCAAGTAACAAAAAATTCAATACGTGGATTTTATAAATTAGGTTTAAAAATAAGTTTCAAGTTTTTAAACAAATTGAGTCAAATTACTCAGTAAATCAGACCTTATCCTTTCAGCTCATCTTAAGTAGCTTATTCGATATATGTTTCTTGGCCATATCCACTACTAACCTCAGTTATATACTGAACTTTCTCATTTAAGCTACGGAGTGGTAGAAACAGAGTTTCTTATTGTACTAAACCTAAATTTTGTCGAAAAACAATCCAATTGCTTTTTCATAACCATATATCAAACGCTTACTACTTGGTTGTTTAATTAATATGGTAAGCAAGTAAAAACTTAAAACGCAGTGATTACAAGATTTGATTATATTTGGAACTACTTCTATCTTAGTAACAAAAGAATTGTTGCTAACAATAATTGGATCTAAAAGAGTCTGTGAAACAGGTCTTGTAGGTTTACTAACTAACTGGTAAAAACCATTAGAGCTCACAAAATTTCTTAACTTAATTCCTTTCAGAGTAGAGGGTTTCACTTGAATATCACATCGTTCTGTGCAATGAGCATTTAGATCTCCAGTAATGAAGACAGAATTAAAAACTTGTTTTTGAGACGCTAACTTAATCAAACTAGTACTAATGTGCTCTAACGTATCCTCGATGAAGAATACTCTGGTCGATAACATAAGATGAAGAGAGTCTTACTAGCACCACTGACACAGACTATTCAATAATAGTCACAATAGCCGAAGAAGTATATTTTATACCATACAGATATCTTCTTATGTACTTTCTTCGTGTATGTACAGACTACTACCTATTTTATTTTCTCATTAGTTATGATGGTACGTCGGAATACAAGACGCCGCAATAGGAAGCGCAATCCTCCGCCGAAAAATTCAAAAGACATACAAGCTGTTGTTAGAAAAAAAAGAAAAGGTCTTAGTCCTCAAGAAAGAGCACCAAGCCTCACGAACGTAGTGATGTAGCGTTTTTTTCTATTGCTCGTTTTGGTGGTCTTTTTTTGACTAGGGCTTCTGTCTAGGTTGGTGTTAACCGAAAAGCAAATGTAAGCTTAACAAATTCCAGTAGAGTACTTTTAAAATGCAACTGATAGAGGTGGTGAAATCTTTCACTAAACTGGCCAGTAGATGAAGTGTAAGTAAAGTGCACCAGGACGCCATTATGCATGATTAATGGAGTAGATATTTTTGATGGCTTGATGGTCATCTTGCAGTTCTCAAATTCGCACGAATAACCTCTGCAGGTCGAAGCACAGATATGACTAAGACTATGGCTCAACCTACCGAGATGGGAAAAAATACCATGAGTTTTGTTTTGGATGAATCTCTTTTATTACTGATGTTAGAGAGCCAGTTCAAACGCTATTCGAAAGTGCAGATGTTTCTGAACATACCTGTATATAAAAATAACTAATACAGTAGGCTACTCAACGGCCTGGCCAGCTAACTCTACCTGCGTACGTAATTCTGTGACGTTTTTCTATGATTTTGTTTTATTTGCAGAAATTTTTGAAAAAGTCAGAACTCAAAAGTAAATAAACCATTTTGTAGACAATT